CCTGGTTCTGCCGGAGGTTTCTTCCTGTTAAAAGGGAGTTTTTCCTTCCCACTGTCGCCAAAGTGCTTGCTCATAGGGGGTCATATGATTGTTGGGTTTGTCTCTGTACCTATGAAGCGCCTTGAGGTGACTTTTGTTGTGATTTGGTGCTATATAAATAAAATTGAATTGAAAATTGAATTATGGTTTGGAGAAGGTGGCACCGACTTAAAGACAGGAGAGTAAGCTGTAGGTGTTAAGACTTTCATTGAGAGTGACCAGAATGCACAGGATTAGAATTTAGTACATCAGAGGCACAGCTTAGGTTGGAGACAAAGTTAGAGAGGAAAAACTGAGGCAGTTTGGACATGTGCAGAGGAGAGATAGTGGATACACTGTACAAAGGATGCTGAAGATGGAGCTGACAGGCAGGAGGAAAAGAGGAAGACCACAGAGAAGATTATGTAGTGGAGGAGAACTTGCAGAGGGCTGGTATGAGGATGCTAGAGATGGAGTGAGATGGAAGAAGGGGAGCAGCCGAAAGAAGATGATGAAGAAGTTAACGGTTAACACCCTGTCCTGAATGATGATCAGCTTCGCCTAAAAAGGTAGCCTCTTTCATTAGTGCAACTTTAAGCGAGGTCATTGGTTGAAGTGTTGGGTGGGTGTGTGCAACATTGTGTATCTATGACCAATAGAATCTTCTTAAACTCGGGTTCGTTGGATTTCGACGGAGCTTTGTTCTTTGATTGGCAGCTCTCCAACAGCCTATGTACGATGGGAGGAGTTGACCCCTCCCCTCATTTTTCGATTTGCCCGCCGCCCTTGTGCGTACGATCACGTGCTTGCAACGGGACAGCAGCAGAGGCGCGAACCCGGAAGAAGACAGACACCTCTGATAGCAGCGGAGCTATCTGCTCCATGTGTACGCTGTCGCGAGGGTGAAGAGTCCGCGAGATCAAGCTGAGGATACGCTGTAGCGTTTTCTGTCTGAAGTCCGCACCTTGGAGTACACACGTTGTTAACGGCAGGGACTGACACGGACATGGCGACTTCCAGCTCCTGTGTGGTGGTAAGTTCTTCCCAAGTGAAATAAGAGACAGAAGGTGGTTGGAGGTTACCTCTGCATGCAGCCAAACACGCTGTGTGTGGACGGGCTGTTAGCCGCAGTTATTAGATGATAGCTACCTGTGTGGACTGAGTACTCTTCACCACTCACACATCGGTAACTTTTTGTTGTATTTTACTTTATTTATTTTGCATGGATATTGTATTCAATACAGCTTGGCCTGTGGCGCTCTATAGACACGCGCTCCACATATGCCTTACGTACGTGACGCAAGCGGTGGACCCACTAACGTGTGGGTGTATGCGTCTGTCAGCAGAACCATTATACAAAATAACAAAGTGCTCGAAACGAACGAGGGGGTAAAGAAGGGGGCGTGTTAGAGCACGCGCCCTTTAAGTGTGGCTCCTAAGTAACGGTGCACGGCACTGTGTTTATGTTGGTGTAGAATAGAATAGAATAGAATTCAACTTTATTGTCATTGCACATGTCACAGGTACAGGGCAACGAAATGCAGTTTGCATCCATCCAGAAGTGCTTTAGCCATGATATAGATATATTACAATATATATATTAGCAATAATATAGATATGTAAGTATATTACAGAAATGGGTCTATTGTGGTATTTATGTAATATACGAATATGTTGGGGCGGCTTTAGACCTCTGTATAAATCTTGCTTCCACACTTGTATGAGAATGTGGTGTCTTTAAACCCTTTAGGATCCCGAGTGTGCGTGCAGTTTGGTATCGGTCCGACACCAAGTAGATACAGGGCCAGTACACATACCGATACTTTTCACTCGTAAAGGCAGCTGATGGAGAGGAGAGTAGTGGAGATGCCATCATTAATTTGACAATTCTAAATACATTTTAATGACAACCAAATCACTGTGATTTTTACCTTCCATCATAAGTAATCAACGTCATAAGTAGTTCTGTTGTTTAAATGTATTATAGGCTATAAATAAATATTTCATACCCATTTCCAAATAAACAATGAATTTAGCACAAGTCAAAGTATAGATCCTTTTGTGCTAGTATTGAGCCCATACCAGTACTAGTATTGCTACTGATATTTGGCTTGATTTGCCCACTTCAGTCTGAAATATAAAGTAGCTAACTGTAGAAGAGCTGCTTGGTGGTGTACAGTGATTGCATTGTGGAAAATTAAATTGGCCCAGCAATGAAATAAATTCGATTTCACCACCAGTATGTGTGACATTACATCAAATATGTTGGTGTGGATGTCTGCGCTGCAGAGCTGATGTCACAGATGGAAAAAGTTCTCTTCTGCTTCTGGAAAAAGTCCCAAGCTGTACTGAATTTTAAGCTTTTTTAAGATTAAAGAAAAGACACACAGATGGACTGAAATAGCCGTTAACAAAAGATAAGTAACATTTACTTTTTCTTACATCATTCTGAGTCAAAATACAAGGTCCTACCTCACTGGATCTGTTGGTGTGTGTTTTGTGTTGTGCACTGTACTACAGGCTACCCTGGCCCCTACACTAGGATCAGTAAATAGATAACCGGTGTGCTGTTTTTCAGGCTGTTGCCAGCATTTTAAGCCCAGTGTACTTGTGATCCTTTCTGGGAAACAGATTTCCCAAAACATTTGCAGACACAGATAATAAAGCAAAGTGTCCATTCGGCTAAAATGTATCTTTTTACTGTGCTGTTGTCTTAATCACATTGAAAGAAAAATTGGCAAGTTGTCAAACATAGACCAATATGCAAGCACAAAGGTCATCATTCCTTTGACCACAGTCTGGATCACTGGATTTGTTTTTCTGCGTTTTGATAAATGTTGATGCTTTATAACAGCAGTTATATGAGACATAGCTTAAGTTTAAAATATTAGGTAAATGTATGTGAAAGAAGTTTGTTTCTTTTCACTGTTATCTGCTCCTTGTCCTCTATAGATAAAGGATGTTGCACCAGCAGAGTGACATTTTGCTAGTTGTATTACCTTTGTTCCTGACCAGGGCTAGTCTGTAAGCACATTTCCAAATCATTGTGTGTTTACAGGGGTACGTATTTATTAAGGTGTTTCTATGACTGTTTTAGAATATCTGATAATACTATTTGTTGCACATAATTGTGCTGTCTGCTGTCATTTTCTGAATTATTTTTGGGCTTTAAATGTATATGGGTTTTAAAATAGCTGCCATTTCTAATCAAGAGGGAAATTATGGTTGACTAGGAGACTCCTACTGAAGGCTAGAGTACTTTTAGAGTACTGGTTTCAAGCCTGCTGCTGACTTATTTCCTGCATTTCATCCCCATTCCTCTCTCCATACTTTCCTGTCTCTTCTCTCCACCGCCCAGTCCAATAAAGGGTAAAATGCCCACAAATAAAGCAAATACAACTATGTTTTCTTGATTTGTTTTTCCTTGTTCCATTGTTTTTGTTTGGTATGATAGATTTCTGAGTTCTTGAATATAAATACGAAGCAGAAAATGAACCGAATACGTCTTTAAAACAAACAGCAAGTCTGTGAGTAACAGTGGAACATACTCTTTCTAATCATGTGACTGTGATGACATCTGCTTTGTATCAGCCTTTATCAAGAGTTCACAAACTGACCCACATGTCAGCAGGACTAAAGGGAAAGGCTTTATTTCAGTGTAGCTGCATGTGGCACGAGAATGGGAACCGTGTTATCCAGAGTTTTGGTGCGTTCATTCCTGTATTTGATTCAAATTCTGCACCGTCCCTTTCTCAGTTTTTCTCATCCCTCCCACGACTCCTCGAACTCTGTGCTGCAGCTGTCACATGATGCCAGTCATGTTGTTTGGTTTCCTGTGGTCTGCTGTTTGACCTGCAGCATAAAATGTAATTTTACAAATTACCAAGTACCTCCTTAGGAAGAGGCATACACTTCTGGAAGGAGATCAGATGGCAGTATCTTGCTGGACAAAATGTTTGTGAGGAGACCTTCAGCAGCAACAAAGGAATGATTCATTGACGCTTTGACGCTTTAATGATGTCCAAATTGGAAAACTTCCTCTTTCTGAGAATCCAGGTTTTTTTTCTTGAGACGGCTCAGTGTGGCCCTAGGTGGTAAAATGAGGCAGATAAACTAGTGTGGCAGCAAAATTCGTGGGAAAGTAGACTTCCATTAACCTGATCTCTTTCACCTTGGTTGCCCTGTGTCAGGTGAGCCCCCCCCCCATGCTCCTTGTTTGGTAATCCCCCCCCTGAGATTTTTCTTTCAATTCTTTTGTGCTAATGTTTTTTCTTATTATTATTTTCAGATCAGTGATGAGGAGCAGGGTTATGACTTGGACCTTTTCTGCATACCAAAGCATTATGCTGCTGACCTGGAGAGGGTCTATATCCCACATGGACTCATTTTGGACAGGTGGGTGGTCCCATTCATACAGCTATGACTTGCCAGAGATTTCCTGCAAGTGGTGGATGAAAGTGCTCTGTTAAACCTGGATTCACTGATTAATGCAGACAAACTTACAGCAATCAGAAATCTTTCAGAAACATTTGCTTGCTGACACAAACTGAAAAGAAATGACAACTTCTGCTGACTGTTGCAGAACACTGAGGTCACTATCCTCTATTTCTTGCTCCCCAAACCGTGTGATATCAGGACTGAGAGGCTGGCCAGAGAGATCATGAAGGAAATGGGTGGACACCACATCGTGGCTCTCTGTGTGCTGAAAGGGGGCTACAAGTTTTTCGCAGACCTGCTCGACTACATCAAGGCTCTGAACAGGAACAGCGACCGCTCCATCCCAATGACGGTCGACTTCATACGCCTCAAGAGCTACTATGTAATTGATCTGTCTTATAGTTTTTCTTTAAATCACCAAAGCCTCTTGGAACTTTTTAGAGTATACACTTAAAAAAAGTGGAAATAAACTAAAAAGTTTGGCTGATGATTAAAAGTTGCTTAAATTATAAAAGTAAAATGCAAAACAGCACAGTAGGGAAAGGATTCGGCAAATAAATGATGGTCGTATGAGGCCATGCTGGTGTCTTTCAGTCAGCCCACTGGGGATGCCTGGAAATATAAAGCCTGAACATCAATTAAATTATTAAAATAAAATAAATAAAAAAGTATGAAGTCTGTCTAGAGCAATGAAGAAACTGCATGAACGCAAAACAACCCATAAATGTTGTTTCTAATCATTTTCAGCCTCAGACTTCATGGTTGGACTTTCTGTCTTTGACCTTCTTGTTGCATCAGTCCATTTGTTTATGCACAGCTCTCTTAGGCTCCTGCCACAGCATTGCAGTCAGGTTGAGGTCTGCACTTTGACTGAGCCGTTGATTTTTCTTTTTCAGCCATTCTGTTGTAGTTTTGCTGCTGTGCTTGGAATCATTGTCCCATTGCATCATGCAAGCTTTAGCTGTCATACAGTTGGGCTCATATTTGACTCCAGAATACTGTTCGATATAACGATATATATCGGATGACGATATAAAAACGTCTATCGTTTCATTTTACGCTATCGTTTGTTTCGTGGTGTCGCAAAATAAACTGTTTATGACAATATTTTTTCACCGTTTTGATGGTCACTGTAGTGGCTATATTAATTTCTTAAAGTTCTCTATTTCTCTTATAGTTTATATAACCACACTACGGACAGACAAGCGCCTGTTTTTATGCGTTGTGGTTAACAACGACGGTAACACCATTGTGTGTCCACTGGTTTATGTGGAACATAAACCTTACACAATAAAGCTCAAGATCCTGTTTAGACTTTTCAAAATAAACTGAACCACGTGAAAGAGCAGATTATTTACGGATGAGAAGTAAAAAAGAGCCGCCAGATGCTAAAAAATAAACCTTAGACTCAAACGTTAGAACAGGCTTTTGTCTGGTCTTTTGCACGACTCTGTGCCGCCCTGTGAAAGACTCTTTCTTGCCAGTCTGAAGGTTTCCTTCATTCTTTTCCTATTTTTGTCTGCACAGAATGACCAGTCGACGGGTGAAATCAAAGTAATCGGTGGAGACGACCTGTCTACTCTGACAGGCAAGGTAAAGACAGCTAGCTAAAACTCTACTGACATGATTAAAAATATTAAAGGCTGGTTTTTACCCCCTTGTTTTTTCTCCAATCTAAAGTTGCTAGCAGTCAGGATGAGCAGATATTTGAAAGAAATATATGCACCTTTAAGCAAAGCTATTGTTTTCATGTAATCATTTCCCAAATATCTTACATTAATTTAAAACAGGCCTGTTTATGTGGTTGTAAGTAAAACAGCTCCCACATAGTTACAGCCTTTTGCACTGTTGCAAGCATTCCCTGTGTAATCAGGAGACCACAGCTCTCCTACTCAGCTCAGTTGCATTTTAAGATGACTTGTTTTTCACTTGATTAATGGCTTTTTCTTTTTTCTTGCACACAGAATGTCTTGATTGTGGAGGTACGTACTGTTTTTCATCTGTATTAAAGTAGGCAGCTGTTATTTCCAGTAGTGCTTATCTGTGCTCCTCTTTTGTGCTTCTAGGATATTATCGACACAGGGAAGACGATGAAGACGCTATTGCAGCTCCTCAAACAGTACAATCCTAAAATGGTCAAAGTAGCGAGGTAATTCATGGCTTCACTGAACTGCTGGAGTTTTACTGGAAAGCTGCTTCAGACTGGTATGTTTCAGGCTGAGGGGTTTTAAGCAGCTAGAGCAGATTTTTATCGTCATTTCGGTTTGTGTCTTCAGTTTGCTGGTGAAGAGAACACCAAGAAGTGTTGGCTACCGACCGGATTGTGAGTTGATTATTTGTAACTTGTGAATTCCTAACAGACTTTGGTTGAAGTTCAGCTCATAGAACAGTTTGTTAAACTGCAACAATGAAGATGTAAGAAAAGCTTCACGTGTTCTTTTTCTTTTTCTCCCAGATGTAGGGTTTGAGGTCCCTGACAAATTTGTGGTGGGTTATGCACTAGACTACAACGAGTACTTTAGAGATCTAAACGTAAGTATTTGAAAGAGATAAACAGTATCGTGTAAAAGTCTTGAGCCCTCTAATATTTCATTTCCTTTGCTTGCAAGCCTTTTAGACTTTATTGTAAGTTTTTAAAATGGTCTTGGGCCATAGTTCTCCAGGTTTTCTGAAGGTCTCTCAAAGATTTTCTTTAGACATTGGCTTCTTTTTCACTCATTTTCATTCCAGAGGTTGTCTTTAGACACTTTGTTACTAGCAGCCTGTCTCAAAAGGTATTCATTAACAGTTTGACCCAGTTTAACCAGCCATTTAACACTAACCTATGAATAAATCAAGCATAAAAACGCACCCAACTCAAGGGATGAACCAGTGCTGACTCTTCACATTGCAGGCGACTTGGCAAAGAACTGATTTTAAATTATATCTTTATGGGAACCTGTCGCAGAAACACCTGACACATTTTACCTTACCAAACAAAACGGGAACAAAACAAATATCAGTTTTGTTCTTATATCAGTTTCAAGTCTTTGTCTTTTCCACTTGTCTTTATAATTTTCTTCATAACTGCCTCGGCCCTGTGCTCATACTGAGGCCGCTGGCTTGTGGCTGGCTCTGAGTTCTGGATGGTTTGAGCTTTAGGCACTTTGACTTTGTCAGATTCTTTAAAATGTCCACGTTCAGCTGGGTGATTTTAAGTGTATTATTGGATTTGTTATGAATTCTATTGATGCTTTTGTTTCAATTGATCTCACAGTGAAGAGCTTAAGCAACATATTAGCATGTGGCAGTAAGATTTTGCACAACTATTTCCCAGCACCACTGTGTGCGTGTGCATTGTACATACACGAAACAGATCATCTGGTAGTCAGAGCTGACCGGCCTGTCAGGGTCAAGAACTGATTCCATTTCCCAGGCAGTTCATCCATCTATCCGCTTCCGCTTGTCCTTTTCAGGGTCGCCGGGCGTGTTGGAGCCTATCCCAGCTGTCATAGGGCGAGAGGCAGGGTACACCCTGGGCAGGTCGCCAGTCTGTTGCAGGGCTAACACAGAGAGACAGACAACCATTAGCGCTCACATTCACACCTGTGGGCAATTTAGACTAATCAATTAACCTATCCCCACAAACTGCATGTCTTTGGACGGTGGGAGGAAGCCGGAGTGCCCGGAGGGAACCCACGCAAACACGGGGAGAACAAACTCCACACAGAAAGATCCCGGCCTGATGGTGGAATTGAACTCAGGACCTTCTTGCTGTGCGGCAACAGTGCTAACCACCGTGCTGCCCAGTTCCCAGGCAGTTAATCTGTATATTGAAAAGGTCGCCCCGTGGCTCAGGGGGATGGGAACCTGTAACCGGAAGGTCAACGGTTCGATCCCCGGCTCTCTGTCCTGGTCGTTGTGTCCTTGGGCAAGACACTTTACCCTACCGCCTACTGGTGTTGGCCAGAGGGGCCGATGGCGTGATATGGCAGCCTCGCTTCTGTCAGTCTGCCCCAGGGCAGCTGTGGCTACAACTGTAGCTTTCTCCACTAGTGTGTGAATGAAGTGGAATTGTAAAGCGCTTTGGGTGCCTTGAAAAGCGCTATATAAATGCAATCCATGGCTCAGGGGGATGGGAAACTAATGGACATTATTATGAACCTAGAAAAGTCAGATTTTGATCCAGTATACAATACCAAGAATGGCTTAACTTTTCAGCATAAGAATTCAGGCTGTGTGGAAGAACAAACGTGGTCATAACAAATATTGACTTTCAAGTTTGTTGCATTTGTACAAACTCTGTTTTTTCTGTTTTCGTTTCTGTCAATCGCTACAGCCGTTTCCTAATTTCCTAGCAAAATATAAGAAGTAGCTCAAGACTTTTTCCTAGTACTGTAACTCATATTTTAAAACTATTTTTCTCTTTATACATCTCTGACAGAATTAAGTGTGTTTTTTCTTTTCTGTTCCAGCATATCTGCGTCATTAGTGAAACAGGGAAGGAGAAGTACAAAGCATGAAGAGCACCTCGTAACAGTTTTCAACATTTGGTTATTTCATTTCCATTTAGCATTGATGTTATATTTCATTGCTTTGTATTGTGTCATGAGAATATAATCGGCTTGCTCAGGGTCCCTGAGGATACACCCAACGTGATAATCCCGTGTTTGAATCACCACGCATGGACACGTAAAGGTTTCAATTTTTTGCATTCGATTGCTTGAGAAAGAATCACGTCTGGGTTTAATAGAATGGATCCCAGCTTCACCTTGAATTAGAATATTGCTTTTATGGTCCCCACTTTTATTCCTTTTTTATTTTTTAATTGAGAGCATTTTAGGGAAATGCTGCTAGCTTCAAGTGCAGTCGCGTAATTGTTGTGCTGCCTTAAGATTTACAACCTCCTCTTTCATATTTTGTATTTTGTGTAAAATGATTATTGTTATTATTATTAATATTATTATTTTGTGTTTGTGTAATTCTACCTGAAACTATTAAAATGTGCTTGTTTTTTTGTTTTATGGGACACCTTAAGAGGAAGTAAAATTTTATTGAAGTGTGTGTATATTTTGGAAGAATACTTCACTTTTCTACGGTACTGTTTTGTAACGCTGAAGAAACATTAGGTAGAAAAGTAAATTGCTGCTGTCCCTGATTAAATTATGTAGACATTGGTAAACCTGAGAAGAAATTTATGAAAATGAATGAAATCAAAGCTTTAGACATGCACTTCCTTTGTGTAACATAAAAGGTGATCCTTTTAACGCTGCAGATATTCAATCACAAACTGTTAATGGTTAAGAATCTTTCATTTGAATATTTGAAATTCCTAATCTGTATCTACATGTTTTATTCACACATAATTTAATTAAAGGCCCCTTTTTAAAAAATATCCTTTTTGTTTGCAGTTTCGCTAAATTAAATGTTCTGTAATCGTCAGTGTTGCAGCACCAGCCATTAAAATTTTCCACACCAAACCTGAAAGAAAGTTTTTCATTTTACTATTACAGCAAGTTGTTGATATATTGAAACACGAAGTGCCAAAAAATATAAATAGTGACAGAGACAGAATGATGCTGCCAAGATTTGGTCTTCCATCTTTGCTCATTAAGATCATGAACATTTGAGCTCCTGTTGTCTGATCGTCATTTGGAAATTGAAGCTAACATTGGGGGATAATTATTTGGTCCCCTGATGATTTGTAAGATTTTTAAGTTTGCTCTCTTGCAAAAAATCTGTAATTTTATAGCAGTTGCATTTTAATGGAGAGAGACAGAATATTAACCAAATATCCAGAAAAAGCCCAACACGTTACCTAAAAGTCATACACTGTTTCCATGTCACTGACTGAAATAAGCATTTGATGACTCAGTATTTGGTGGAGAAACCCTTGTTGCCAAGCGCAGCAGTAAGACGTTTGCACACAGGAGGGATTTTGGTCCACTCCTCTTTACAGAAACTCTAAATCCTCTATATTTCTTGGCTGCTGCCTGGCAACTTGAAGCTTCAGCTCCCTCTGCAGATTTTCATTAGACTGAGCTCTGGAGACTGGATAGGCCACTTCATGACCATAATGTGCTTCTTTAGCTACGTCTTTGTTGCCTCTGGCTTGTTTTTGTGTTACACTGGAAGACCCATCCACAACCCATCTTCAGGTGTTGTGGCTGAGGGAAGGAGGACTTGGTCCACGATTTAACGGTACATGTCTCTGTCCACTGGCCCCTCTTGTACTCTTACTAGAAAAATAACCCCAAAGCATCATGTTCCCACCTCCGTGCTTGACTGTGAGGATGGTGTTCTTTGGGTCAAACTCAGCATTTCTCTTACTCCAAAACACGGTGGGCCAAGTTGATGCCAAAGAGCTTGATTATGGTTTCATCTAAATGCAGCACTTTGTTCCAAAACTCTGAATCATTTAAATGTTCACTAGAAAGTTTAAAACCGACGAATTTCCCAGAGGAACCCACCCGAGGGATTAATAAAGTTTTATCTTATCTTTTATCTTATCTCTTACATGTGTCTTCTTGAGCAAGGGAACTGTGTGGGCACTGCAAGATTTCAGCACATTACTGCGTAGTGTGTTACCAACGGTGCTCTTGGTGTCTGTGGTCCCAACTGCCTTCAGATCATTAAGAAGCTCTTCCTGTGTAGTTTTGGGCCGATTCACCACCCTTCACATGATCATCTTGACCTTGGGAGCCCCAGACGAAGAGCGATATATGGTCATGTGATACTTATTCAATTCTCAAATAATCTCACCAACAGTTATCACCTTCTCACCAAGACTTTATTGTGTTGTAGCCCATTCCAGCCTTGTACAGGTCTACAATCTTTTCCCTGACGTCCTTTGACAGTCTTGCCCATGGTAGTGGAGAGAAACGATCAATCTTTAGGAGGCAGAATTCTTGCTTGGTTGGAGAACATCAAATACTTATTTGTGACACTGAGTGACATGCAACTGAATTCATAACTTGTTGTTTGTTCATATTCTGTCTCTCGCCGTTAAAATGAAAGGTCCCATCATAGCTGTCATGGGGCAAGAGATGGGGTATGCTCTGAAAATGTATCCAGTGCGCTAAGGACGAAGAGAAAGACATTTTACCTAGAGCAAACATGCATGTCTTTACATCGACGTAACTTTGTGCTGAACACTGTGGGAGGTCAAGATCTCAGCCTAAGTAAATAAATAAATCTGGGTAAATTCCCAGATCATTAAACATGCAACTATTTTGCTGGTAATACCTGAAATGAGTAAAAAAAATCAACAGCCTATTTATGCAAGATAATTCATAATTTTATTGAGGGGGTTATATTGGTTGGGTCTGATTATTGGGGGGGGGTCATAACCCCCCTGGACATTACACCTCGGTGTCTTTAGACTGTGGGGGGAAGCCTACACAGGAAGGCTCCAGCTAACCAGCAACCTTCTTGCTCTGAGGCAAGAGTGCCAACCACTAATTAATAATTACTGTGGTTTTTAATTTGTGCTGTTGATGAAAAGCCACTCATGTTTGCAGATGCACCGCTCACATTTGTTTTCATACTGACTGGATGTTATTTTAACTCTAGGCACTAGATTATATTCCAATTTCATGTGTCAAGTCTAATGGAAACTGTGTGTTTCCTCTTACCTCAAACTGAGACTAATCTTAACCATAACCAGCTGTGTTTCATGATGCTTATCAAGACCCAGCCTTAAATTAACCACTTTTCTCTGCCTAGTTCGCCTCCTCACTGCAAGCTTCACTTCATTTATGACCACAAAACTGGCACCATAATAAACATGGTTATCTGCAGGTAGTAAGCAACCCGTGAAAACAGTAAGGCCAGTCCATCCTGTACAGGGCCTCTTGTCGTTGTCTCAAGACCTGTTGAGGTGTTTGTTTTCCAGTAAAATTTTACTGCCGTAAAACCTTACTGAAATCTTTTAGCCATAATTATTTTATAGATCTGAAAAAAAGTGTCCTTACAGAAAACATTGAGACTATACTTCATAAATTCTATGCCTTTCTTTTTCAATTAATCTTTATTGATCGCAAGGAAGGATATAAACAATATCCGGAATAAGACAAACATAGCTGTCTCTAACAAACTATCGCGTCGTTAGCCGTCTTTGTGTGCCAGAGTAAATATTGATTTCTTTGTGGAACTGGTGAATACCGGGGCTTGCCGTGAAACCGTTTGCATGTATGGAAATTGGAGGGGAACAAACGCACGGATGGAGCATAATACTTTCCGCCTGAGCACGCCGGCTAATGGAGCGCTTTTATTGGACAGGCCTGCTAACGCTAAAAAAAAAGGGGCGTGAACTTCGCTGCTAGCTTTTCGCTCTTGTGTGATCATCTGGGGGATCTGGTTCATTCTTGGCGGTGCCCAGCAGAAGCGTTTCTTTTTTTGATAGTCTGTGGACAATATTTCAAGCTGACACGGATTAATTAGTCTTGCGTGCAGTTGTAGCTGTCGGGCTGATGGACAAAACGTGAAGTGAGACTGTGACCCGGCCTCTCTCTTTCTGAAAATGGCATTGTGGTTAACTTAGCTAGTTAGCTTATCGGGCTAGGTAGCTGGACTCTTGTTGTCGCTGAGCCAACTGGCTTCCATTAGCTAGCTGTGCGGTGTTAGCTACAGGGTATGCTGATGAGCATCACTACATGTAGCTCTGCTATTTTAATGTCGTTTGTAGTAGACTGAAAGACGAGCGTTCACTTGGTGGACAGAGCGACCATTTGGCTAGTTTAACTACGGCTAGCTCATTTAAGGCGCTAACATGCAGCGGTAGTTTGGATCCACTCGTCACAAACTGCTGCCTTGCACCAGCAGACCAACTGTTAGTAGGCATTGTGCGGTGTGTATAGCCATGGCTCTCTAACAATCCATCAGGAAAGTTGGTGACCGGTTACAGACAGGGTTGATGAGGGGCAGCTTCGGTGAACACACGGCTGCTTTGTGGACTGGACGCCGTTATGGTACATATACAGCGTTAGTTTGCTTCAGCACCGGAGTCACCCTGGGCACGGGGCCTTGCAGATTGCCGAGAGTTACCTACACTGTGTTGGCTTGTCTTAGGTGAGCTCAACTGCCTGTTTACTCATATTGCTTCAAGAACATGTAAAGTTTGCACAGGTTGAAGATCAGTAATGTAACTTTACTGAGTCGGTTCGCCATTTTAAGTTGCTGAATCGGTGAGGGGTGGTGGTGAAGCGTTGTTTAGCGAAATGAACAGCTCAGGAGTCATGCCACAAGAAAAGATGGAACTGGATCTGGAAATCCCAGCTTCCATACTTCCAAGTGATGGACACCTGAGAAGATCCAACAGTGCACCCATGATAAATGGATTAAGGTAGGGCAATCTGACTTTAATTTACTGCAAAGTTAAAACTCTTTCCTTATTCACACATTGAAATAAGTTCATTTGCATTGCCATGATGGTTAAAGGCGTTCATAATTCGTCTTTGCAGTGATAACTCCCAGGTGTTCCAGAAGGAGGTCCTACGGTGCCGGAGAAATAGCACTACAGTTGTGAACAGGCCCAACATGGTATAGTGGTTCATAAACATATTCTGACTTGATTGAGATGCCTGAGTTACTGTAATGAGTGTTTACTCATTACCAGCCATGTCCTCCTCTTACAGGTTCCTTCATCGCCCATTCGGGTCCCGAGTACCAGACTTCATCAAATTAAACAAGTAAGGAATTGAGGTGGTTGCAGTAAAAGTAATTCCTGTGGAAGTTGAGCTCTTCAGACCAATGTCTACGTTGGCTGTAGTAAGAGACATGCAAGAGCAACCTCTTTAGGCATTCACAGGGTCCTTGATCTTAACAAGCCAATCAACTCTTAGTATCACACTCCTGCAGAGCAAGTCTTGATTTCCATAAGAAAACACATGGATGTTGGTGGTGGGGAGTGGTTCAGTTGTAGCATCTGAGATAAGACTGAGCCTGAAATGGGCTTGTTAATCTTGTACTGTGAACTGAACGCTTCTTCTTGACCCCCATCAAAAAAAGATGTCTTTCTTTCTCTCTGCCATATTTAATAATATTTTAATAAGAGTACATATCATTTTTATCCAGGGGGAAAATGTAATGGGTCCACTTTAAAGAACATAACTCAGAAAAGTTCAAATGATGTGATGGTAGCTAATGTGATTTTTTTTATTATATTTATTTATTTATTTTTTAAACCTTTGGGTCTCTTTTGTTCTCTTGCAGGAAGAGGGCATAGATGTGATGAACAGAGAAACTGCACATGAACGGTAAGCTATCCATTTATACACAGTGTTTGAATGAGGAGATCTGCTGTGTTGTTGGTGACAGGCTGATGACTCCATGTTCTGATTGTTGTTGTGCACTCAGGGAAGTTCAAGCTGCTATGCAGATGAGCCATTCTTGGGAGGAAAGCCTTAGTCTGGTAAAAACTCTGTCCCATATATGTTGCTGATTATGTTCTGCTGACGGGCAGTTTTGCATGTTTTGGCCCCTGGCCTTTCTTGGTCTCTCTTTGTTACTATAGAGAGGACAAGTAGAAACATGCTAGAGTAACGCTGAAATAACTGGGAGTTAACAGGGCCACCAGTCTCTAAAGGTCAGGCTGAGTTGGTAGTATAATACTCCCACACTTGCAGTGATGTTACTATTGGACTAAAGGATGCTGTAAACACACGGTGAACTGTGAAATCTTTAATGTTTTTTAGAGTGACAATGATTTGGAAAAGCCTGTATCTTCATCTCCAAAGCGAATCGACTTTGTGCCTGTGTCTCCAGCCCCGTCCCCAACAAGAGGAATAGGAAAAAAGGTACATCTGACATTAACTGTGGTTAGAGTCACACAGTTATCGCATTATAGTTTCATTAACTAGATCTAGTTACTTACTATAACCCAGTTGACTAATAATTTAATTATGTGCAGCCTACAGGGAACAGTTGGCTGCAGTGAAGCAGGAGCTTCTTAGGCCTTTAGCCTTTTTCCACTAGTACCTGTTTGGCTCAGCACAGCTCAACTCCGTTTGTAGGTTTTCCATTATGCGGTAGTGCCTGGTAAAAAGAGCCGATGCGATCTGGAAATGTGACGCCAGCAGACTGCATTCACAGATTGGCTAGTCAGTGGCATCACTTGATGAGTCATGAGAGGGTCTCCTTCGTGAAAATCAAAACGTCCCTCTTTTAAACCCAGCAAGGAGCGTGATGGCCAGAAAAAAACACCGTGATCCCAGAGTCTGGCAAAAAGCTGTAGACCGAGCGGCAGATATACCATCGCCTCAACATGCTGTGGTGTTCATGTCTCATACACATGACTTCACGGGACTTTGGGCTGCATTGCTTTAACATCCTCATGCACATCAGGTGTTACCGGCTTGTAGTGGAAACCAACCAAAGTCGAGCCAAATTAGGTACTAGTGAAAAAAGGCTTCTAGTTTGCTGCAGCTCCAAGATGCAACATTTTATTCATTCGGCTTTTTTTTCCAGCTCCACAAAACAATTCAGATTTTTATATTAGCACTACACTTTAATGTCTCCGTGGTCTGAAACAAACAATTCTTGCTCCTCTTCCTTCATTTGTCCCCCTCCTGAGGTGACCATGTAAAACCATCTAAAACTGAGTATTTGGAGCAGTCTGAAGTTGGTGTTTGTCTCATAAGGATTATTAACATCTGAGAGAGAATTCTACAACAGCAAAGATGACGATAGAAGTTTAATTTTCAGGGTTTTTAAATCCTTATTTTGAGGCAAAGTCTTAAAACTATCAGTGTCTTACTGACCAAACAAGTACTCCAATGATAGTTGCAAAGTGGTATGTCTTACTTCATAATGGGCCCACTTTAATTATTGTTTCATGTTAGATTTTGTATATAGAAGCCAATATTTATTTGTTTTTATTTTCGTCTAAATTCTTTTGGTACAATGAAGTCAGATGTTTTTGAGAGGTTTATTTACCCCTTCTTTTGACAATTAACATATAAGGAACTCTAAAATATTAGAACAAAAAGATGACGATTAAGCAGTAATTTTTCACCACTTGAATGTTATCAGTTGCAGATTTATCTAATGCGTTATCTATGTTTTCTGCTCTCCCCCTCCTACAAGCAGCAGTGTTTCTCTCCTTCACTACAAATTCTGGTGAGCAGCAATGGTCTCACTCCCAGCCCAATACCCAGCCCAACACGGCGATTTGGGTGAGTACAAATTCTTTTGAGCTGTCACAGTTTAAAGTTAAAGAGTTAAAATCTGTCAGTTACAAACTTTGCACAATTATGTTTGCAACTTCAGCTCATGCCCACAGTTTGTTGCTGTATTTCCAAATGTTTTGATTTTAATTGTTCCTGTTTTCTGTCTTGTTCAGTCGACGGAGTCAAAGTCCGATCAACTGCATCAGAGCCAGCATACTCGGTCCAATAAAACGCAAAGGTGAGTCGTGCTTTAGACATGCTTTCAATGCTCTGTGTAAGGGAGGCTTTGCACATTAACGCAGCAGCAAACAGGCACACTCCCTCTGAGTGTGTTGCAATCAGACCTACCTCTGCTCTCTGTTTTGGTAGCCGATTTGAGTGCATGTACATCCTGGCATTTGTAACCTCTGACCCTCTGTGTTTACACGGAGATTATGAGATTGACCTCCCACTCAAAAGAGATGAGCTATAATCGCATCAGTTTGCTGGTGGCGTCCTAAAACAAACTTTAGCTACCTTAAGCATATTTTACTTTATGTTTTTAGGGTTTAGGCGTCAGTCCTCTGACTTGTCTGGTGTAACCTCTGCACATTGTTCTCGCTGTGGGATCAGGGGCCACTTTATTTTACAACACCTTGCTGAGGGAGGAGTTAATCATGGCCAAGGTGTTCATCTGTTTTGACTTGAGAGACTGGTGCTCACATCCAGTGATTAATGCCTGATTTAGACTTATTTAGGAAATCTACATCATAACCAGAAACTGGTTTTAACTCAATAGGCTGTGACCTTCCACACCATTCAGTCTACGTGAGATTACTCTGAAAGGTCACAGCGAAGGGTTAAAAAGGTTTTCTGATCATGATGTAGATTTCTTTTATGGTTGGAACTAGGGTTGGATGATTTGATCTATAGTCCCTCCATTATGGCAGCACTATCCACCCTTTATAAAGCACAATGTGCCAAAAAATTCCCCAAAAAGCAAAAAACTGGTGAGTGGGCTCATTAAGTTCCAGTTTCTAAACCACCATGCAGTCAGAAGTATCCTGTTAGTCTTCTGTCATATAATGATGATCAATTTGAAAGTCTGGGCATGAACCTATGTGCCCTCGGACATATGTGTCGAAAGTGTTGGATATGGGAGGGATGTGGATGTGAACATGCAACTTAAAACTTGAATCGGATAATATTTAATTTAATGCATCAAAGGGGAAATGAGGTGAAAGTCGTCTTGATTGGTGAGCTCTGATGTTATCGTCCATCAGCACGACCGTAGTCAGAAGCCATCTGTTCAACATGTCGGCCTTGAAGCTTTGATTCTAATGAAGAATATATTTGTAAAGAAATGTCGGACATCTAAGAATTTTATACATTTTAAATGGTATGACATGCATATTTCTGTTAATCATCACTGTTCTTAGACTACAGGACAAATGTTGTGGAAATGAGTCTTCGGTGGTCTTTATATTGATGAAGTTAATTTATTAAGCGCTGTGGTGCAGGAAATGCTTGTTAGGCTGGTAGGGCTGTGCGATATGACCAAAATCTCATATCCCGATATGAGACATTTATCATCCTCCTGACAACTAAATAAATTTTTACATTTTCTGTAAATTCTGTGAATCTCGGGCAACTCGGCTTGGTTAAAGTGTTTTCAGCTGAGCGCGGTGTACCTGGAGTCGAGGCACGGCCGCAATTTTCATTGAGTATTTATTACACGGCGTGCAGCAGGGAAACGCCTGTTCTAAGGTTTATTTTTTAGTACCTGACGGCTCTTTTGTGTGATTCAGTTTATTTTGAAAAATCTGAACAGGATCTTCAACTTAATTATGAAAGGTTTATGTGGGGAAATAAACAAGCGGACGGCGGAGCCACGCAATGATTTTACCGTTGTTGTTGTTGTTGTTGTTGCTAATGACAACGCTTAAAAACAGCCACTTGTCCATCTGTAGTGTGGTTATATTAAATATAAGAGAAAGAGAGAACTTCAAGAAACTCTACAGTTACCATCAAAACAATGAAAAAACTTTGCTGTCAACAGTATATTTTGCGATACCACGAAACAAACAATAGCGTAACATGAAACGATAGATGGTTCGTCTGATGTATCTAGTTGTAGCGAACAGCCCAATAGGGCTAGACATGCCAGCCGATGTTATACATGAGATTCAAAATATTTTCCAAACAGACTTGATGATGCTGTGCTTGTGCCATATCTGTGGTTAAACAGTATCTATAATGGTTCATGGAAATAAAGATTCTTGGAAGAAAAACATTTGACTTGTGATCTGGACACTAAATGTTAATGTAAAGTAGAGTAAACCTATTGCAATATGCAAATTCTGAGAGGTTCACATTTGAATCCTTAATCATTAAACATGACATTTGTTTTGATTTTGGGTGTGTTGGTGTGTGCATGTGTACTTTGTGGTCCTCTGTTGACAAAACACTGCCACGCTGCAGATTGAACGTGCTGTTAATCAGTATGGACGTGACTAGGTAAAAGTTCACCAAGTGTAAACTTTGCCTGTTCATCTGCCTGGCTCTTTTGTGAATAGTCGCACAGCTCATGTGTCAATTTCTAAATGTTGGACGCCTTTTACTCTGCAGGTGAGATGGAAACGGAGAGTCAACCCAAGAGGCTCTTCCAGGGCACCACCACCATGCTGTCCTCGGATGTCTCCAACCTGTCAGATCTCAGCTCCTGGTAAGTAACTCTCAGGCCCATCAACAAATAAGAAGCTGCTTAGATAAGGATGAGCTTTTGAGTGCTGAGGCAAGTAGGCAGACACACTGGCTGTAAAAGCCAAGCTTGATTACTAGTCACCATCTCGTAAATGGAAAAACAAGGAAACCCCTACATGAAGAGGATTTGAGTAATTAATAGGGGATTTTATTGAGCCTTGTTGATTCTGATCGGAATCAAATGTCAGTCACCTCACTGGCAGCAGTTTTACAGTTTTATTTAAGAACTATTTACTTCCATAGAAATCGAAGTATATTGATTCTGGGGCGATTCTGTCTCAAAGTTGAGTCAGTGTGAGTGCTGACATTTGAGATTTTGAGCAGTGCATTCATTCAGGGTGAATTAGTTATGCAAACTTTTCTGAAGACTACCTTTTTCTTCCCTCTCAGTCACTCTCCAGATTTACTGGATGGAAGCCTCAGCAGCGTGGGCTCCTCCACCGACTCGCCAGGCAAAATGGAGGGAGTGTCTCCTTCCTCGTCCAGCAACTCACCCTTTGCTTCTCTCCAGGATTTGTCTCCCAAATGAGCATGGGATATCTAAGACTATGGGGGGGGGGAAAGAGTGGAAAAGACTTCTCTCCAGGGAACTGGTTTCCTTTTCAGACCCTTCACATCGCCAACTACATTTCCTTCAAGTGGAGTTTTCCCCCACACTTTCTTCTGACTGGCTGTTTTTATGGCTATCTTTTATGGAGGGTCTCGATTTTAAGGAGACTACAGCCATGGATGTATTTGTGTAAGAGGTAATCCTAGTAAAACTAGGACTGAGGGAAGTCGCTGCGCGCACCAGCTGCTAATTGATCTTGGATGGTGCCAGCCTTCGTAGGGATACTAATAAGTGGCTGTTGTATAAATCTGTCCTGCCAGTTCCCCTCACCAGAGAGACATTGAGCACTGGACATATAAAGACTACTTGGATGTGTGCATTTCCCTGTTTTTGTGCTGGAAAATGTCTGGCCCACTGGCCTTGGTGTGCGCACAGTCTGCAGATTTTGTAAGAAAAGATTTAACTTATTGTTTTCCTGCTGCCTGAGCAGATATTCTAAATATTTTTATGGTATAGGCTGTGAACCGTGGTGTTTGCCTTTTTTTTTTTTTTTTTTTTTTTTTTTTTTTTTTTTTTTTTCTTCCCTTCAGCTCCAAAAAAATGATTTGCTGCTACTTTAATTGGTAATTCTGAGCAAGTGGTAAATCATGATCATTCCTGGTAGTCTCAACACTAAAAGTTCCTGTGTTCTTACCAGGATGATTTTTGTAGATAAAAGTATGAAAATCTGACTTCTTTTTTCCCCTTGTTCCTTCTGGCAAAGTGTTCTTATTTATGGACAACACATTTGTTATAAAATTGGATTCGTTCTATCTGCAGTAAGCCATCTGTGCTGTCATTTACACCAAATCAAGTGACTGCTGGAACACGAGGCAAAAAAACAGCACCATCACATTGTGAGTAAAGAGACTGCTCTTTCTGCTGTGGTTACACTTTTTTCTTTTTTTTTCTCCAACACATATTGCACAGGATGCTTGGTCCTGTAGTGTTTCAGCCTGTGTGAGTCTTAAGCAGGAAACAACTAAATTTGAATAAGAAAAAAGTCTGACTACAATATGTAGAGGTTAAAGCCTGCACTGTGATATTTGCACCTAAATTTGGTTTCATTTGTCCTGACCCCAGTGTTCATATCCATCCGTATAACTCGATACTTCCGAACCCCTCTGTGGCTCTGTAACCTTAAATGTTTATGTACCGGTACAAAAAGGAAGTGATTGTAAATCATTTTATGGAAGTGTGCCCTTTTAATTTAAACAAGTGTGGTTGCAGTTCGCTTACTGAATGTTTTTTTTTTTTTTTGTTTTTTTTTTAAATACAAATAGGAAAATGTTGGGGGTTTCTGCTTTGTTTTTGTTCCCTTCACGATGCGTGTTTTTTTTTTTTTTTTTTTTTTGTTTTGTTTTCCCTTCTGCTCATTTTATGAAGTGTTCAGGGCATGAACTTAGCAAATGATATGCTATACTGTATGTCTGTAATAGAGGCTGTAATCTGCTCGTCTTTTGTGACTGCTATTGTAGCGGACATCAGGAGTAAATAAATTATTTCATTATGCTTTTGTATCAGTGTTTTCTTCTGTATTAGCGCTCGTATATGGAAGACCAAAACTACCAAAATAAAAAGAAATTCCCGAAATATTAGTCCAACGGAAATTGGAGTTTGTGGGGTTTTTCTCAGTTTATGACTGCCAAAAATCCAGAAAAAATAATGAATGAATTAAAGAAATATCCAATCAAATGCACTGGATATATTTAAAAATCCATATAAAAATAATGCATGGGGAAAATGGGAAACGATAAATATAGGAAAACAAACATTATATGGAAATGGAAAAGTTTAATCTGAATAGCAAGTTTCACATTTCATCAATTACGGTACCAGTATTTTTATAGGACATTTCGTGCATTTATTTTTACTACTTTTTTTTTTTTTGAGTCAATTATTGATTTTTCTCAGTTTTAGTACTTCATAAACCAAAACATACAAATTAAATGCGGATGCATCAAGGAGCACGACAGTGTTACCAGTTCTTCTAGAAGTAAACAATATTGCTAAAAGTATTCACTCGTCTACCTTCACATATGAACTTGAGTGACATCTGATTCTTAATCCATAGGATTTAATGATATAGTGATAACAGCTTCAACTCTTTAGGACTGAGTTTATGGAAATGTTTTACCATTCTCCCAGAAGCACATTTAAAAATAAACTATTTATATAGCACTTTTCAAAACAGAGTTCAAAGTGCTTCGCGTTTTTGAGGACACTGATGTTGGACGAGGAGGCTGTGTGCCTCAGCATCCACTGACACCACTCTGTGATTCTACTGTTGCTGTTGTTCCCAGTTGCTTCCACTTATACCACTGACAGTTGACTGTGGAACAGTCATGGAAATGTCCATGGAAGTGATTGGAACCCTGAATTCACTCACAATTCAGTGATTTGGATGGGTGAGTGAATACTTTTGGGAATGTAGTCCAAGTCTCACTGCTGCTATACTTAGGATCATTTTCCTGGTGCATGACCCACTTTCAGCCAAGCTTTACCTGACAGACAGATTGACTCTAGAATACTTTGGTATACAAAGGAGTTCATAGTTGTAACGATAGTTAGTTGGTAGTAAGGGGCCCAAAGTGTGCCAAAAACATTGCCCAACTGTTTTTAGCCAACCTATAATTATGTAGCCTAATAGTTGCAGGGACATTTATCAAAATTGAGCTCAAAATGCCTCAACAGTGACATCTGCAGGCTAGAGGGGGCAGAGCCTGTGTGAGTGTGGGCAGAGAAAAGGACAGCAGGAGCCTGACCTCTGCAGGATGGGATCTCTCATTTTATTTTAATGCACTTCAGTTTTTTTCATGCTGATGCTTGTTGTACCACATGGTAACAATGTGCACAACCTAAAGTCAATATCTGCAGTTGTGATAATAGTATCATGATTAATATATTGTTATTATCATATGTAAATGTTTGTTTATTAGAATAAGATCGAACTCTCTGAAAATTATTAACTAAGAAAAGATGGCAACAGGTAATTTCCTAGTAATTAATCTATTTATTATTTGAGGCATTATGATTGTGCTGTGTTGTTTACAGGATACATGCTGGGATTCCCCTCCAGGCTTTTTAAAGGGAAGCATAAATGCTGAGATAAAATCTGTTTTGTTTCTCTTCAAAGGTTTTGAGAGTTCAAACTGCAAAATTTTGATGAAATAAGAAGCTGAAACAAAACATCCAAGGTCCATCCATATCCTGTAGTAATTTGCAGATTTTCTTTCAAATTATGTTTATTACGTTATGTTATGTTTCAAGCCCAGATATACTTGAAGTTTCAGTGAGTCCGTTTTGAGAAGGAGTTTGTACCAGTTAAACTATGTTTCGGTATCTCAGTTTTGTTTGAATAGCTTGAAGTAAAAATGATAAAACACAGGGCTCCACGCTGCTGGCTCTGCAGGAAGTGGTGAGAGTTCTCAGAGTCCTTCTGATCACTGCATCTCAGATTTTGAATAAACTTTCCACTGATGTTAGAAAGGCCACTTTGAATTGAATCCCTGCCACTCACACAGCAACATAAAGCCAGGCCATTGTGTCCCGCTCCATCAGAGATCACGTGGTCCAGGTCATCCTGACAGGAATCAGAGAGATGTACACACACAGCAAACTTTGCACAGGTGCTGCTCATTAAAACTGTCGATGTAACAGTGAAAGTTTGCATGCTCCCTAATTACACCTGAGACTTTTGCTTTGGTGGATCAAGTTGGAGTGAACTTTGTTTTCAAGACAGTCCCTCAATAATCAGTCAATCATATTTCATTTTTGTTCTTTTCGTTTTTGTCGGGACACTTTAGATAGTGGTGTCCAAGCTGAAATATTCACAGACGCTTTGGGTGGCTTAAAATATTCTTCCTTAGATGTGATTAAAAACACAAGTTGAAATAAGTATTTGTGCCGTTAACATGTGTCCACCTGGGGATGATGACTGTGGAGAAATGACTGTACTAGAAAAAAACGTAGGTTACTGGATGCACCAACTTTATAATAGTCCTTTACACCGTTCTCACTCCTGGTTGTATTTAGCTGTGTTTTGTTATGTAATTTCATAGTACTTTACTTTTATTAATATCTTAATACTTCATAGAACAATGTGTGCATAATGTCTTGCATGCCATCAGACAACCCTGTGCATGCGTATCCTCCATCTTCGCTGCTGGAAAATGCTTCCACAGATTTCAGTTCAGCATTCTCTTGAGTGTCACGTCCCTCTCTGTATAATTTCTTCAGTGTTATTTCTCTGCCTTATTCACAGCTTTAGAGGCAACTGGTTCCCAAGCAGCTGCACATCATGTTGCTTTGAGATGACACCCCTTCCCCGAGGGAGACCGCTGGATTATTTTCAGGCACCATCATTGCAAAACTAACAGGAGCTTTATTGTCCTGTTCTGTGCCGTGTGCTTTCCTGACACAACATGTAATGTGTAAAAAATAAAACAGAATCTATCTTTGAACATGACACACTACAGCTGTATTGAGACTTTATTAAACATTTGATAAAGCATGGCAAGCGAACCATTCTTCTTTCAAGAGGAGATCCCTCCTTTGGTGACAGGTAGAAGTATCTTACTGCTAACAAACTTAAAGCCCACTCATACAAAGTATCCACACATGCAAGGAACGGCATTTAGTCTTCAGTCTACTCTAAAAAGCTTTAAAAAAACATCAATTTAATAATGGTAACAGGTAACAAAACTTTAATGGCTTTATATACAAGTACCGCGTTTGCATGTTGATTCCTTCACACTGAAATGACCACTTTCTTTCACATAATGGCAACAGAGTTACAGACAATATGTGAGGCCAAACAACAGCAAATGGCCTCACGCTTCTTCACAGGCCCTTTATCTCAGGGACAGCTCCCCTCACTCTGACCTTACACACGACAGCTCTTCCCATTTACGTCACTTTAGTTCCGTGTATGTATTAACACAAATGTGTAGATTTGAAAACAAGTATGCTAAAATGTATTTTTCAGAGGATGAGGTAATCGAATAAGTACCCCTGTTCCCCTGCTGTCAGCTCTACTTTTTTTTTACTCGTAGTAGTGCCTCTGGTGGGAGAACATTCTCTTCATGTTTCTGTTTCTTTTCTTCCCTCCTTTCGGCTCACGGCACTTCATGTGCGTAGAATGACCATTGTAAGAAGCCCTAAAATATGACAAGAAATAACACCGGGTATTATAAATTTCATCAAAACAAACAGCCTGGTTCTCACTTCAGAATGGAACATGCAACTTCCTTCTGTTTTTACTCACCGAGAACATAAGCAGCTACAAGTTTCTTGTTAACACTTAAGTGGAGGTAGACAGGCACAGTAGATTCTTGCTCCCCAAGTGTCGGGAGCATCAGGGCGGCCATACACACCAGCCCAAGCAGTACTGTCAACAGACTGGGTCCTCCAGCAACAGGACGGCTCTCTGCAAGTGTCACATACACACAAATAAACACACTTAGATTGAGTGCAATCACATGTGTAACTCAGAAAAAGCCTGGTAATTTACCAAACTAACTTAAACTGCTTCCATTTAAGTCTGAAGGGGAACCCAATAGCAATATACAGCAGATTATATGGCACTAAATTAATGTGGGTATAATTAAGAATATTATTTAAAACAAAGCAACACAGGGTTGGAAGAACAATAATAAAATTAGAATAAGCGATATCGTTTGAAATGCTCACCAATTGAATTTTGTGATAATTTGGCTCCATCTAGAGGCAGTTTCACACAGCAGCGATTTCCCCTCTTTTTCCTACCTGTCTGGAATGCAGTCTGTTCAAAAAACTCGCTGTCAGCAATTCGGCGTTCCTCATCTTGGGGCCGGGGGCTAGGCGGGTCCTGTGAGGCAGAGGGACGGAGAGTGGCCGTCACCTCTTTGCGGCCCAGAGCTTTCCGCTGACTCTGCTCTGACACCTGCAGCCGGAACTTGTCGTAGACCCCATAATGGCACGCGCGCACATCTCGGTGTCGGATTACTCTGCGTGGATGCAGAAAGTTAGCTGTACAGACAGCAATAAATTAATCAATCTGCTAGTTTAGGTTCACCAAAGCGTGAACTAACTCACATATCAACGCAACACTGAGGCTTGACGGCTCCAGTTGCATCCACCACGGTGTACTTGTTTGGCGCTGTGCACAGCACTGACAACGAAGAAAACAATACACGACGTAGCCATTTGATTGGAGATGAAAAATGAACATAACAATTATACGTAAACACAGAGATGTTGTTTCGATCTGCTCACTGACCTTTAAACTTGAGGGCGAACTCATAGGGATTGTAGAGCGTGAGCACCTGTTTGTGAGACGACTGATCATCGGCATAGAAGACGAGCTCATTGGGGAACACGAACACGGGAAGGCTTCCTCCCACCAGCTCTGGCGGTCGATGCTGCTGCTGCTGCATTGGCTCCCGCTGAGCTCTACCCTCTGCCCAGGCCCCGCCAACTCTTCTCTAGCAACTCTCAAGCTTTGTGAGCTCCCTTCAGGTGAACAGCACTTCCCACTCTCAGCTCCTTAGGGCCATGACATGATACTGTGAAGAAACACAAGTGATGAAACGCAAAATACGCCAAGAGGCAACAGCCTGTCACTCTTTTACATTTTATGAAACTCTAATAGGTTAGTAATAGTGTAGTGGTAATACATTTCTTTCATTTTTTCATATATCTCCTATAGCTTCTAGTTACCTTACACTTTACTGTGCCAGTTTGTTTACTTTAGTGACTCAAAGGCAAGTTTCTGCCCACCTCTTAGATGCTTTGTCTGTTTAGCTTCTCCCCCACCTCTGTGGGTTCACACCCTCTGTTTCCACACCCCCACTGCATAACAAAGAGTGAAGCCATCCCCCGCCAACAAATGTTAACCCACCCCCATAGCCTTAATTTTATTATGATATTCTAGTATATTTAAAAGTACATTTAAACACTTATAACTTAATTAGATTCTAGATTTACTCTGTTTTTAAATACTCTGTATTTAAAGCAAAAAATATTATTATATCACTTACGTGATTAAAAAAATGAAAATGTTAGACTCATCTAAATGTTTTAGTTTAGTCTGTTTTTTAAAATTTAACAGTGTAATAAGATATTTACATTGATAAACCTTTTCTAAACCACCTAAACCCATGTCTTTAAAACTTGAGCACAGCAAGGTTTTGTTATATACTGATAATCCTACACGTGCTATATTTTAACGCGACGTGTATTTTTAAAGGCAAATACTTGAAACAAAACTCAGACCTTAATGATAAGCGAGAAAGCTAAGGCAATTTCATTGGTACAACTTTTTATTAAAGGCAAACAAAGTTAAAGTGAACTCCATGTGCCTGGTCACGTGGCCCTTTGTGTTTACATGGTAACGGAAGAACTCGAGGAGCGAGACCTGTGGTGTCGTAACACTTTTTATTTTCTACGTATAGTTTGCTCCACGTCAGAAAAACACAATAAAATCACTACATTTGAAGCACGATGCTTTCAGTATATGAGATATGATATGTTATTAAGTTATCTAGATTTCTTTAGCATTTCGTTAGTGCATATAAACTCAAAACTGTCTTTAAAGCACAGGTAACAACGTAAACAAACACCAGAAATAGGTTTTTCGTTGAATATTTGACATAAATCTATAACAACTGTGATTTTAAATTAATACGGTGCCTATTATTAAGTAATACCGATGGTATAACATGTTCTTTATCTGCTCGTGTAATAACACATATTTTCACTGTAATGCTAACGGTGTTCAATACTGATGGCTAGCGTTAGCCGGCTAAGAAAACCCAGCTGATAGCAAATTGCCTCTTAAACGTTGTCTACACGCAGTGTCATTTCAGAAAGCAAAGCGCAGATTTATTTAATTTCAATAGCAAGTCAGAGTGAAACTTTACCTTGTTGCCAGCACACGGGTTCGTGAAACGTTGGAGCTGTAAACGAGATCTGTGCTTCTGCTCCCACCCTGTTGTTGTTGCTCCTCAAGCCTTTTTTTCTTTGTGAATAATTGTACTGCAGACCTCGCGGTGCATGCTGGGATGGCAGAAGACGAGTACGTGAGAACGTAAATGTTCTCCCAGCACGCGGGCTAACGTGTTTATTACTATTTCACAACGTTTGGATCGGAGCACAGAAAACTTTATCCCCCTGGCATAATTTAATTATATTTGCAGAATGCTTTGACAACATAACTGCTGTGAAAAAAATGTGCTCAGATGTAAAGTATACTCACACTTTCCTAGTGCAATAAATTGTTTTCTTTAGCATATAACGTATAAATAGGCCAACTGAAAACAAGAAATAGCCTGTTTTAAACTTCCACCAGGCATGAGGTATTTTTCTAAACTGCTGGTATAAAGTTTTAAAACTTACTGTAATTTGATTTTTCCGTTATTTCTTAATATCATGGTAGCATCGAAGCACACTATCGTGACTTCAGTATTGTCGGAGTTACCACCATTACGGCCAAACGATACAAAAAACACGGTTCGGTAGCGAGAATTATTTTCCCGCTGTGGTATTTGCAAACTCAAACATGCATGTGGTAAGTTTCTTCCCCAGTTTTTGTTGTTTTAGTTAACAAGGTCATGTAACTACATGCGTTGTTATTACGTTAGTCAGAAGGACGGAGCCTTTGAGACGCCTTGAACGCAGCAAAAGAATCACATCTGTGGGCGCGCGTGTGAGGTTGTGATGGGGCGGGAGGGATACGGTGCAAGCGGCAAGAAATTTCAGGTCTAAGAATATAATTCTCACACTGCAACAAACAGTTATGTGGCTTCAAACTAGCCTCAAGGGACCACAGATACGAGGGCATTATACCACGCTTTTGAATAACCACCCCCAACACCAGGACACTGACAAACTGTACTCACGAGCCATTTCGACTTCGTTATATCTGTGCTTGAGGGGGCGTGGTCATTTCCATCGGACTCAGCCAATGGCGTCGCACTGAAAGGAGTTGGGCGTTCCATTCGGTTAGGAGCAGAAGTTGAACAGCGCGAGCCGAGACAGAGCTCTAGAAAGGCAGATAGGGAGAGGGCAGAGGCAACGGCCCTCTACTGGAGGGGGGGGCTTATTATAACAAATATATACACACATGTGTGAACTGTTGGGCTGCACGATAGGTCATATGTGGATAATAGTTATTTTAGAAAAGCATATAACCGCGGCTTTACATTTAAAATGCCTATTTTACTTTTCCTGTTAGACACGTCCGCCTCTATGAATCAGCGCACTTATTTGGGTACGACGTATCTGGACGTTGCTAAAGGCGCGGTTGAGGTCTTTATGAAGGTAAATAATGATTTTACCCCGACCTTTTTCAGCACGTATGCACCTTTGGTTAGCTTAGGGTTCCTTGGGGAAGATAGGTCAAAATTAATATATGTTGTTTTGGTTTTCTTTTTTGACAGCTGCGTGCCCGAGACCCGGCTAGTAGAGGCGACAGGTACATGCTAGTTACATTCGATGATCCACCATACGGAGTGAAGGTAATTAGCAACTGATGCCATTTTTACATTTTACAAGCCGTTCGTATTTTTCTGTCAGTGAGATTTTATTGTCCTTCTGGTTTGTAGTCAGTGTTGGGCGGCTTCCCGGTGGCAAAAAACGGCAAATTAGTGCTCCAAATACTGACAAACGCGGAGCTGCACTGCCTCCGAACATCCAGCAGACATTTTGCTTTTGTGTTGAGAAAAGTCTCGGGCGTTGAGATGGAGGCGTGGAGATTTATTATCAGCTATGACGTCGCTCTTTTTTTAATATAACAACGTGTAGACTGGTCAAAGAGCCCGCCGATCACTTTTTACCCCGCCCCTTGCATCAGTCACGCATCGCCATTGGCCAATCTGGGCTGAAAGTTGATAAGCCCTCTTCATCATGAGATCTCTTTTTTTTGTATTTTTATGAGTTTGCTCATGTTCTCATTATTCATAATATAATTATTTGTCATCCCGATACGAGTGATCGTCATGTCCTTGCATAGGAGCAGTAGTCTTCATACATGCACAGACACACAGGAACAAATAAATACAGCGTGGGAATCACTGCGATAATTTCACGGGGTTAATATCAACAAAGGTTTCCTGACTATAATCTATTGACATGTTTTATGACCAGACACATATCTCCATCTGATCTTTTCATTCCCAATAAAATACAATCCACATGAACCCCTAAGGTCCCTGGTGTGCTTCAGTGGCTGCTCTCTACACTATATTAGGTCTCTCCAGGCTTCCATAACTCTGTCTACAAACCACACTCTACTACTCAACACAGCATGCAGGGAGCTTACTCCGTCTTGTGCCATCACTGCCTGGAGAAAACAGAATAGTTTGCATGCCTCACTACCAAGAAGCAAAATGCTCAAAGCTGAAGAGTTAATAAATGTACAAAAGCATATGTTAGAAAGCATCGCTCAGCTCACAGTGTGATGACAAATTACTTCCACATTTCAGTTCTTTATAATCCTCTCAAAAGCTAGTTACTGTTTACTCTGAACTGTTCAAACAGCAGCGGTGTTTTTAAAGACACTGAAACCAGAAGTGAGATTCTGAAATCATATCTCATGATAATTAAATGCAAACTATGTGACACAGTATTTTATGCTCCATCTTCATATGCCCAGTCATTTGGATAATATACTTAAAATCATTATTTATTATTCAAACTAATTCAAGGTTTCAAAAAAGCTTATTTTAAATTTAAAACATTCAACTCACTACTATTAAATTGGTTGTAAAATGTAGTGAAGATGGGCAGCTCGGAATTTTTTGTTTTCCTGTTACAAAATGTCTGTTACAATTAGCAGCTGTTTGGTTTAACCCAGTAAACGTCTTTTCTATTGGCATATTTAGAGGTTTAAAAAAATAAAAAATTCATATACAAGCAATATGTGTTAAGTAACACAGCAACAGTTTGGATGGGATAATGGAAGCAAGTACAAAGTGCAAGTTTACACAATATCAGTTTATTTGTACTTATAAAATCATGCATTTTTAAAAATGGCATTTATTTGAGTAAAGCATACGGCTACAATTTCTCATTCATGCATATTAATGTGTCATGTATAAGCGATGCGATGTATGCCATTTGCTGTTACTGATGCTACACCCTACACATATTTCATGCATACTATATGCATGAAATATATAGAAGAAAATTTTTTTTTAATATGGTAAAGGATTTTTTGCATTTGCTGTTGCATCACTTAAGTTATGAACTACATAATTTTTCTGACAAACATGCTACAAACTTTACCCGAGTCATTTAGACAGCCGTTAGCACATGATTCTCCTTATGGGGACCTGATATGTT